AAAAAAAAAAAATTAATAACACTGTAAGATCATCTCTCTTCTCTAGATCTCTCCTCACAAAACATATTTCTTAAACTGATTAAATTCAATACAAAAGACATAATAAAAGTCATTAAAATACAGAAAAATACTAAATTTGAGCATCTATCCACAACAAAGGTACAAATTTCAAGCTTTTCATACCGTGTTGCACACTAAGCATTGCTTTTGTCAATATGTCAATAATCTCTTACAAGGTAGCCCAAACTTATGTATTTCTTCCATTAAATCAAGTGGGATTCTTTGGATTGTCAACTGCTGTGATGCTTTCTCTCAGTTATGCAAATAGGTTTTTGCAGCACAGTGCAGACATTAGGATAAATAAAAAGTAATCACAATAAAGAAAAAAAGATGCATCTGAGTATCAGCACTGGAAGGGAACAACAAACAAGACAGAACATGTGAAAGCTGATTCAGACTTAGGAGGATGCCTGAAACTGCTGCCAACAGCAACAGCACAGGAGCTCTGTTTACATTAATTAAATGCCTGAGATTTAAGGCTAGGTTCCATAACAAAAAATGTTTCTTCAGGGCTTTTCCCTGGAAGAAAAGTCTTAGCAGAATGTTGTTAGTCATAACGGACATCACTAAGGACTGACTGTGGGCTAGACTTCTGCCCCACAAAACTACTGGTCTGAGCTTACACTACCAGTTCAAAGAAGAACAGCATAAGCCCCGTAATTACTAGTGTTTTGCAGTTCCTGCCAAACACCAAATCCCACCCAATTTGCATGGGCTTCTGAATTGCATACCTGCCTTCTCAGTCGCAGAGATCCTTCCAAACTTTCCCTTTTGCCCTTGCCAGTAAACTTCCCCTAAAAAACCACGTGGAACTTCGAGAGTCTGCCCTACTTGTTTTAAACTCATACAAACTGCCCATATAGTACATCTAACAAGCGTTAAGATGAGAGCTTCCTGACACCACCAATGTCTTCTTCAAGCACCGAAACAAGCCCTGTACTGCTTCTCAGCAGCTGATGCTTATGGCAAGTTACTTCTTCCCTCTCAGGGTACAAGAAAGTCTTGACTCTACAAGACAGTGAACAATACTAGATCTATTAAAACAAAAATACTGTTGATAGGCAGTTTCAGATTTTACAGCAAATTTAAATGACAGACATATGCACTAATTTGGGGGGCATTTTAAAAACTGATACTGTGACACAGAAGATCTGGTTTCCAGATCAAAAAACTCAATGGCTCTGTAAATTAACTTTTAAGAACTATAAAGACAGCATCAAAAAAATCAGAGTGCTAACTTTTCCTCCTTCACATGAAAAATGCAGCAGTTTTGGGAGGGGATTTTGCCGCTCTTTTGTGCCAAATCACTGTAGATTAAGAGAGCCAGAGGAGCACAGATCAAGACAGAAACATTATAGCTGGGCTAATAATAGAAGCCTGAAACCGCATCCATCTCCAATAAGCCTTGCTCAGAAGAACATGGTAATTTCAGTCACTTTCAATACACTGAGTATAATTATAAAAATACATTACCTGAAAAATCCTAAGTATAAGGCATATAACATACGGCATTAACAGAAAGTTTCATGTTAAAATATAAATACAATTTGAGCTTATGAGAAGTATGGAAACGGAAAGACTTAGTTTGAATTTGACTGTATGTTACATATACTGCTTTAGTGATAACCCTGAAATATCGTTCCTCACCTGTCAGTTCAGCCACTTTAGCAGCAACTTTCTCAGCAAAGCCAATTCTTGTGTTTAATCCTGTACCAACTGCAGTCCCGCCAGCTGCCAGCTGATAGACTCTTGGCATGGTTGACTCAATCCTAGCCACACCATATTTAATTTGTTGCACATAGCCACTGAATTCCTTCGGGAAAAAAGGAGGACAAAATAAGGGAACGAAGACAACAACCAAGAATAAGCATTTAGAATAATTTAGATTTTTGACATGATTGGACTAATTTCTTTAAAAACCTGAAGGCACTGAACTTTACCCAAATGCTAAATCTTAGCATGTCTTCATTAAGCAGGAAAGTTTACATAAATTAGAAGACAGCTGTCACTACAAACATTTACACATAAAAACAATCTACATATATAAAAATGTATACACAATGCATCTTTCTCTTGCCTTTTATCTCAGTTGTGTACTTAGCATGATCTGAATCCACTCAGAGTAAACTAATGTTTTCAAGGTACAAATAGAGAAATGGACCTTGGGCTTTCTTCACCTAACTGTAGTTAGTAAAAACCCCACCTGTGCATTCTTGGGAAAAAATCCACAAACTTTACATGCATTTTTATCAATTCAGTTGAAGTTAATTCATTACCAAATTAATGTAATATAAGCCATTCTTGACAATATGATAACAAAGACTATATATATCTTTTACATATGTATCAGATCACATATCAAAGATTTTAATTAAAAATACTTAGTAGTTTTGTGTGTTGGCAAAACTTCACTTCTGTAAGTTTACAGATTACAGACTATCTTCGTCCTTGCAACGTCAGGGTAACAGAAATATCACGTTGTGTTATTTGGTAATGGAACATTATTTAAAAATCATTTATACCTTACTACTGTTAGAAGTAAAGCACATATGGAAAAAATTAAGACAATTTATGATGAGACTATTTGAGTACAGCATCCAGCAAACTCCAATAAAGATGAAAATACTCAGTTAGTTTCCTATATTCAGTCAGTTTCCTATAATTTCTCTTAAATTATCAACTTAATTTAGGTGTCTTCAAGTTTGCCTCAGTTTCCTCCAACAAGTTTACAAGAATTTTCCAAACAAAGACACAATTTGGTTTTTTTACCTGTCCAAGTGTAAGCGGAACAGCATCTTGTGTATGAGTGCGCCCTATTTTTATGATTTGGGAAAACTCTTTGGATTTCGCTTCAAGTGCATTCTGTAGCTTCTTTAGTCCAGGTAACAACACCTCATTAACCTCCTGGGCAGCAGCAATATGCATTGCTGTTGGGAAAGTGTCATTTGAACTCTGTGAAGGAAATTCAAGAAATTTATTTACAAGCTTTTCTCACCATTGTGCTGTAAAATGTATATGTATGGGTTTATTCTCTTTATTTTACAAACAAGAAGAAACTAAACTAAGAGTAAGCAATTTAGGAGTGTTCCACAAGTCAATCTGCAGGAATAATCAAATCTTCCAAATTCCAGTCCAGTATCTTATTGATAGAATGAACTTTTTATAACTATACCACAGAAAGTTAAATTGAGTAGATTGTTCACAACAACATTGGGACAAAAAAAAAATTACTACAGTAGTTATGAAAGATGGATAACAAATGGATGGATGATTTTAAAGGAACTGTAGGTGATTTTTAAACACCTATGTGTTGCTTTGATAATGTTAAACCCATAGTTCCCAGGATACTGAGTAAGCACAAAAGATCAGGAAGGGATACAACCAAGTCAGTGGCTTAAACTTCAGCTAATCTGAAGGAAATAATGAAGAGTAAAGTATAATAAAAATGTCTACCACGATCCCTGAGGGGGAAAAAAATTAAATGGATATTTCCTTTGCCAGTTACAGGACTTTAGCCACTTTATTCTTGCTACATGCTTTATGCAATGTATTATGGAGATAACAGTTACAAGTATCCAACTTTTAGAAACTGGATCTATATTTAACTTCTTTAAGATTGTTTGCAGTAGCAGTGGTTTTCACAAGGCCACCTCTGCCCACTACATTATATGTGAATTTATCTTCCATAATTGAGTTAAAAGTTTTTTAATCTAAAAAGCTGTTACTGTCACTGACGAATATTTTAAAGTTCATTTAAACTGAAAAACCTGGAAAATTGTCGCCAAAGTTGTGCACAAATCTCGTTTGTTTTTTTTTTTCAAATCTAAAGAGTGGCTATAAGAGAATTCAAAAGTCACAATTAAAAAAAAAAGTCTTTTGACATTAAAAGAAGTATAATACCAAGTATAATGACCTGGCTTTTGTTAACGTGATCATTCGGGTGTACTGGGGTTTTGCTCCCCAGTTTACCTCCCATTATCTCAATGGCTCTATTGCTGATGACTTCATTGACATTCATATTGGTTTGAGTTCCAGACCCAGTCTGCCACACCACCAATGGAAAGTGATCATTTAGTTTTCCTTCAGCTACCTGTAATGGGAAAAAAAAAAAAAAAAAAACAGAAGAGAGAAAACTTGTTCTACTGGAACAAAAAACCAACCAACCAAAAATATCAAAAAGCATAAACCTGAGAATTGTATAGCTATAATTAATGTTCTTCATTATATTTGTAAATCTACATATAAAAATTGCAGATTTATACCAGAAAAATTAAGAGGGTTTGATATAATACCAGATACTAAAAGGGCAAGAACTTTTGCAGTGCTTTTTGAAGATGCTGAATTCTGAAACACAGAAATATATATAATTTGATTTCATGTTCTAGAGTCATAGAAAGACAAGATTTTTAGGAGGTCTTTTAGGTTCTGTCTTCTCTTTCCCAAACAATGCAGATGACTTTGTAAGTCCAAAAACATCACCCCCTTCCCAAATTTTAAAGCAATTTGGATTTTAGTCTTCCTGGGTAGGACTAGAGGTAGTACATGCTGATTCTCCCTTCTACAGTTAATTGCTCAGGTTAGTAAGATCTCCCAGGCAAGGGAAATAATCTTAAGTAGTTTCTCAATCAGAGAACATAAGGTGCTTCGGGGTACTGATTCAGTATTGTGTGTCTCCTTTGGTCACGAACCCATCCTTTGGGTGTAAGAAACATCTGGTTTTGGACAGCATGTATCTCTTCACAAACTCCTTATCAGAGGTGTGCTTCTTTCTTCTAGGAAATCAAGCTCAACAGCTGCACAGTTTCATCATGAACACTGATCACAACTCTACAACAATTTGAATTGGAGGCATTCAGAAGTCCATTCCTTATGGGAAACAGTCCCCCAGTAGAGGTGGTTTTGCCAAAGATCATCTGTCATGCACATGCAGTACATGATATGTGTATAATTGGACTCTGAAATTTCCTCAGAAATAAATTTCGTACAGGGAAGTTCCAGACCTCTTACACCTGTAGACATTAGATTTTGTATCAACAAAATAAGCCAGCAGACGGTTGCTGGTATGGAACCCCTTCTTACTCTAAGGCATGCTTTCCCTAGTACTGCCCTGGACATACAAGACTTTAAATTGAGAGGTGCCTAAAAAGGACTCATGACTGTCTTTACTGTACCTCAACTGTAACTGAGTATGCTACATGTATAAACAAAAGAGTCACATGAACTTAAAAAGATTCATACATATCGACTTGCTGATTACCCATGGGAACAAGGTCCCGATCAGTCAAAGATGGCTATTCCAACTTACATCTTCTGTAAGTAGGCTATGACAACTACCATCTCAAAACAGAACAACAGGTACAAATACTCTCCTGTTTGATCTACGTTTCTGCGAGCCTGTTGAACCTTATATGCATTTAGAGATTTTTCTAAATCTGTATTTGTGATAGTATCAAAATCTGTGCTCAGAAGCATCACCCCCATGCATACCAGCCTCAGAAAGCAAAGAATCTGTTGTCACAACTCTGAGGCTAGTTAACTATCTCCAGATCATCAGGATACATCAGTCCTCCTGGAATCACGTTTTTCAGGAAAGGATCTTATGTATTTCGCATCTTATACAGGGTTAAAGTTCCCACCTCCAGGAGTAACTTGATTCCTTGCAACTTTCTTTTTAAGTTATATTAGAAAATTATTTTGGAGGTAAGGGAAAAGATGTAACTGCAGGGGTGTTTTTAAAACACGAGAAAAAAGCCCCAAACAACTTCAGCACTCATAAATCTATATTAAGTAGCCTTTAGCCACCAAAACTTCTGATCCACCTTTATCTAGAGGAACCCTAGAAACCACAAGAAGAGCCTGGCAATACTCGAGTTCTCCAGAACCTCTCGGGACTTCTGGTGCTATAGCTGGTAGAAGGAAGATAAGGCTTCTGCAAATACCGAAATATTTTTAAGCTAGTCAGATAAGAAAGCTCTGTAAAACAATAGATAAATATATCTGTTGATTAACACAAAGCAACACACCTGGTATTACCATACCTCAAATAATGGTCATTCATAATTCTCTGCACTTGGGTGGCATTTATCCTGAGAAAGAGGAGATGCCTCTGTGTGTCACATCATGTCCTCTTTAGCTATAAAAGCGATACTCAAAAAGCACAGATTTACTAGTAAGCTTAACTCTGAAGAGGAAACACACCAGTAACAGAGAAACTATTCAGATTGCAGATGGTCTTCACGTTACCAAGATGCAATTGCTGAACAGACTGGAGACTTCCAAAATGAAAAAGCTTTGCTTGGTATGTCACACTTCACATTAGCTGAATGAACCAAAACTCTAATCCCCTCATAGGATTTTTTTTATACTGTTCATCTGGGAAGAGTCAACAGTCTGCGAGTAATGCATAGTCTTAACAGAGGGGAAAAATTACATTGTTTTTATAACTTAAGTATCAAAATGCATTTGAACATTCTATCATTTCTATAAATGTAAAAAGTAAAATAGTAAAACATTATACTAAGTAAATGATTTCTGAACCTGAAAAACAAAATTTACTAACAATAAATGACTTCCTCTAACAATCTGAGAAACGCAAGAGGTCTTCCGCCAGTCTCCAAACTTCCTGTGAAAACCTTAACAAAAATACAATGACAGTGCTAGTATTTTGAACAGTTTGTTCCTACCTCATTCGCTGCCTTTATGATAGCATTAGCAATCTTTGGATCGAGACCGTAATCTTGATTAACTTCAGCAGCTGCTCTCTTCAAGATGCCAAAAGCCCTTATAACTTGAACCTGAGACACAAGAGTAAGTTTAAATACATATTTTTTTTTCCCCAAAGGACATTTTAGGAACCTATAGCTCAGGTCTAGTTCTAAACCAAACTCCTTCTGAACCTAAATCCAGCAGTAGTCCATCAACCAAACCAAGGAGCAATCAGATCACGTGACCTATGCTCCCATTAACAGTAGTATTTACCCAAGCAGTCCAGAAAGCAATACACACCTTTCTCTGTAAGTCCAGGTATGCTCGGTGTATCAGAAAAGGTTACATGCATTACAATGAACACAAAAAAGAACTGGTTCCATCTCTAAAACAGCCTTTTTGAGGACAAACTGACATATGTTTCAGTACATGGAAAGCCAGTATATGACAAAGCACCTGCACACTAATTCTCTATGCACAGCTACACGTGAAAAAGTAATTTTGTACCAACTCATGCCATGCTAAACATCTTCAATAACAAACTATATAGCCCTAGAGCAAACAAAGTATTCCATTCAGTTTTTTGTCTTCAGAAAAATGAAAGATAGATTTCTATTCATCCTGGTTATTAAAAAAATTAAGCAACACAATAAAATAATTGTTCAAAAGCAACATTCAATTTATTTAAATGCAACAAAAAATATTTATACCACAGAACAATATCTTGCCATGGAACTTCTAACTAATTAAAATTCAAAGTTGTTCATATTCCCAGAAAAAGTCTAAGAAGAATGTATGCACTCTTACATGCAAAACACACTTAAAGAGAAGAAATGAACAGAGATTTGATTACTTACGGGCATTCTTTCTGAAACACCTCCAATCTTGAAGTTCATTGTAGATCTTACAGTCTGGGCACCATAGTATTTGTCACTTGGGACCTTCAGTTCACCAAAGGTATCATATTCTATCCTAAAAGCCTCTTGAGTGGACTATGGAAAAGGGAAAACAATTTTACAAACACTAGTAAACAGCACATCCTTTTTGAAAGCAGAGAGAGTTGAGGAAAAAATGTTCAAGACAGGGAAAAAAACAAAACAAAGAGATGCAACTCGTCATAGGTAATTTTCTAATTATGTCTTCAAAGTTAAGACGTTTTTGCAGTTTGAGCACTTGTCTCACTAGAAGTCACAACTACTAATGTTGTGTAGCCTAGCAGACTCACTGGTGACAGGCAGCACTGCAAGACTTAAGACCTCGGCTGCCCTCTGTACGGAAACATGTCATCCTGACAAAAGACTCGTTTTCCTCTTTTCAAAGAATTAGTAACTTATCTTAGGATTTACAGAATTGGTGTTTTGTTAAAACCAAGCTGAAGAACAAGAATTCAGGTAGCACCCGCCCAATCAACACACATGTAACACAATCCCTATTTGAAATCCACACTGCGCATGAGATGTAAGAAAAACACTAGAAGGGAACAACCGACTAATCCAGTACCAAGTTACTGATAATTAATTATCTTCTTAAGCCTAATAAACCAGCTGTGCAACACAAACTGCATCTGGGTATATTTTGTGAAATATTTAGATAAGGCAATATTTCTGTATCATATATACACCTAGCACGCATTATTATCTAATACAGCCAGAGTTAAATTACTTTTAGCTGACATACAACAACTGAAAAGTAATTTTTTACTCTTTGTGAAACAACCCATTCATTTGTGATAATGTGATCACATTCACATGCAGCTCTACAAAGATTATGGGACTGGACAGGAAGCAAGAACAGTTTGCTCTTGTCTCTCCCCACACTTTGGTCAGCAAAGTCCCAATTTTCTGTGAGAAAGGTGTTCATCCTTCCCCAGAAGAGATTACCTCCTTGCCAAATCTTGAGAAAGGGGAAGAAGTCTTTTTTAATTCTTAATCACAGATGGCGTAAAACAATCCCAGCTCCATAGGTAGGGTATATACGTATACAATGCCAGGCTCTGACCCGCGGGGATGAGTCCTTGGGAAAGCTCTATCAGAGCATCAAGTCAGTCTTGCAGTGCAGTGAAAGAAGAAAATCAAGTATTAGGAACTATTAAGAAAAGCAGAGGGTACAAAAAAGAAACATTGCTGTGCCACCATGCTTCATCTACACTCTGAAGGCTTTGTGCAGCTCTGGTTCTTTCATCTCCAAAAAGCATATTATTGGAAACTGTTCAAAGAAAGGTAGTAAAGTTCATGAAAGGTAGGGAACAGCTTCCTTAATACAACTGACTTCTTTTTTCAGAAAAGAGACAACTTGGGGACTGAAGGAAAATTGAGGTCAATAAAAGCATCAGTAGAATGGTGATGGGTATAAGCTGCTCACCATCTCTTCCAATACAAGAAACAGGAGCCATAACATCAGGCTAATAGGAGTCAGGTTCAAAGCAAGGAAAAGGAAGCAGCTCTTCACACAAGTAGCATACTGACTAAACTCCTTGCCAGCTGATGCTGCAGATGTAAGAAGTCCACGTGAGTTCAGGGAAGAGCAGATCAGCACTCAGAAGAAAGATCTAAACTGGGTTATTATACAGACAAACCACAGACTCAGGAAATCCCCCGATGTGAAAATGAAGAGTTTGGGTCAGAATATGAGGAAAGTATCATATATGTTTGCACAGTTCTTACTCTTCCATAGGTGTCCACTTCTGAATTCAGACTGTTCCTCTCTTTTCTTGGTTCTTTTTACTTGCTCCTTGCTTGGTGAGTCTCAGTCTTCTTGGGCAGGAGCACAGCTGAGGATCGGACAGAACATCCCCTCCAGCAGCACTGACCTTCTGCAGCAGCCTGCCCAGGTCCGCGTCACCACGGCTGGCAAGCTGCAGGCGGTAGTCATGGGGGGCGGTTCCAGCCTTTCCACTGTCCTAAGCCGCGTTCCCAGGCAGATGGAGACACTCTGCCATTGGGTACCCCTGCAGTCACGTACCAGAGACACCAGCCTCGCTCATTTGGAGTACTCTTGAGGAGTACGTGGTGCATGTGACCCAAAAGAAACTGCAGCCCAGCCCACGAACAGTGAGGGTTGGCTCTCACCCTGCGTTCCCGCTCCCTACACCTTTTGTTTCAGCTGATGCTCTCCCAGACACTGACCCCACAAGAATACAAAGCTTAGTGTGGACCAGTATGCCCTTTCTGTGTTCTTCAATCCTCTTCATCCTATTTCAGTCACTTAGCATTTATTTACATGCTCACAACAACACAGTCAACACTTCTTTAGTATCTTACTACCAAAAATGTTTAATAGGGATGCTTGTGGGTTTTTACGTGTGCACGTATTAATATTCCAACAGTAGGGATCATTGATGCATGGTGTCTGACATCCCTGCTTTTGATATTTGGACACCTTGTGTAAGCAGACAATGTCAAGCTTTCCCTGGAGCTGGATAAGCAGAACCAATTCAGTTCCAAGCCCAGCTCTTGATATCATCAGTGGTTCAATCACCAAAAGTATCCACACTCAAACAATATTAAAAAGTTAAACTACGTATAACCTTTTAGACAAAAAAGCTAGCAGTTACACCATTCATTCCTCACACTTACATAATTCCAATGTCAATAATGATGAAACAAAGATAAACAGGATCAGTACCTCCTCGTACAAGTACCTTTTAACAACAAATCCTGTTAGTAAAAAAAAATAACTTCCCTAGCCAATTCCATGTAACACACATTCAGAAACTCCAATGAAGTTAACAGGGTAAGGTGCTTTAAGCTCAACGTTATTTGCTGATTAACAGAGTAACAAGCGACATTAGGTAAAAAAGCAAAGTGACAATTTTCATACATACTAAAGAACTAAACTAAACTTCAGCATCACCTTCAGCCTGCAGAAGTCACTGTCTGAATTTCTATGTAAAAAACGTGCTTCCCTCACTCCTTAGACAGAATTCACCCTCTTGAGTGGCTTTATAAGCTGAAGGTCCCAGTTCCCGTATCTAAAGTGGTTTCTGCAGTCACTGCCTGACCTAGGGAACCTGCTGTAAAATGGTGCAACAGCAGCACACTTATGTCAGCCCTCTCCTCTCCCATGAGCAGTCCACAGGAGAAGCCAAACAGAGACCTAGCAACTCTGCCACAAGCCAAGGTGAACTCCTATGTTCACTTAGTTTCTGTCATAGCTACAGCAAATCTCAGCTCTGAACTACTATTCCTCACCTTTATAAAACAATTTTTCTTTTTGTAAAGAGGCCTGACAAGGTGTGCTTTGCCCTCCAAAATCCACAAAATCCTCCAAGAACCCACAGTCCAAAGCTTACATAGTTAGTCAAATATAACTGCACTTTTGCCTTGTTGCATGGAACTAATCAGCTAGAACTGATTGCACCACAACCCGCTGGAGGTAGTCAAATGGCAGAACTGCTGCAATAATGCTTCCCGTGGAAAATTACATTCTGATTCAAGGATGAAGCAACTTTTGGATATAGGTATTTCAATTCAAAGAATCAGCATTTTTAGGATGTCAAAACCAATCCTTCAAGGCCAGCAAAAAATGGAATTTGTGCTCAACTGCCCTCCTTTAGCAGATGAAGAATGTTTCCATTTTCAAGTGTTGTTTCTCCTTTATAATATGGAGTTACAGATTCTGAAATGTACTCTTTAGAAACCAAAACCAAACATTTTACAACATTCAGCTGAAGAAGGACTATTATGACTACAGTTCCATTTAAAGCATCTTGTGCGATTTAGCTCTAAGTTAAGGCAACACAATAGTCATACTGTAGGACAACAGGCATGTTTGGTTGTGTCTACACGACATGTTCCAAAACAAGTCTTGCTCCTGAAAAATCTCTACAAACGCCAAAAAGCCATGGGGCTTTTTTAAATTTAAATACCAGTTGATACATTTTTTGGTGGTCCTCTTGGAAATAAGAACATACAAAGCTTTCCTATAAGAATTCAACAGCTGTTTGAGTTCCAAATTCACTGAGGGACATTTCGCTATAGCTACTGCTGTTATTTAAACACAAGCAATTAATGATGTTTATTTGCAGGACAGGTCATATTTCTGATCAGCAAAGATCAAAACACATATTTTTCTTGTTAAGATTGCAGCGTTTCATAATTACTGGGTCTTCAGCAAGTAAATGAAGGCCATGATCTATAATGTTTTTCTTGGATGATTACAAACAGAAAAATAAAAAAAAGGAACCACCTGACAGGCCAGTGGTTTGAGTTACATAGTCTGCTCTGACACCAGTTTTCTTACACAGGTACACCTCATTCACCATACAGTTTATTGACTCATTGGGAAGCTTGTTCTTTTAAACGCTATTTTCTACACCTTAATCAATGTCACAGATTGGAAACTAATGCTCTAGTTAAGTTTATTATCTAATTTAGTAAACGAATCAATTAATAAAATCCCAAACACCCCACTTTCTGCTGGAATTCCTCTGACAGTCTAAATGACCTCCTTGTTTCAATGAGTGAACTTACAGAGATACACCTGAGACTAAGGCTTCCACCCAACATCCTAGCTGTTAGTACTGAGATTCAAAGTTCCTTATTCGATTAGCGTTTTTGTTTCTACATTGGACCACGCGCAATAAACAAGTCCTGCTGACATTTCAGCCTGACAGTTAACTGACTATACTTGAAAAATAACCGAGGATGCCTGATAGAGGCCACAGACAGTTCTCAGCTGAAAGCTCCCTAGTTTGCAGGCAGCCCCAAAGATCTTCCAGATACCCTCGTTTCTGTGAGGATATAGCTTTTTCTTATTTGTACCTCAGCAGCTCTAAGAAAGGGCCTCAAATTTCTGCGGAGGCAGCTGCTGCACGCCACAGCTCTGCCACAGCAGGCCCTGCAGTAACACCTTCCCTGCCTACCTGGTCGGATGCCCCCCCGGCCATCTCTACGGCAACTCACGACGTAAATCTCATCCCCAGGGCAGCGCACCGGGACAGCTGCGCGCTGCAGATCCCAGCCCGCCCCTGGGTAACAACCGCCTCCTCCG